ACGGGTGAAAAGGCAACAAACTGGATAAACAAGATGTCGATTAAAAGTTAATCTAATATTCAAAGCACTTGTCAGTGTTTGCCGTCAAAGACATTGCCAATGATAATAATCCAGGGAGCAACTCTCGATACTCGTCAATCGGAAAATCGTGTCTGACTTCACCACTTTTTTCCCACCACCATTGAAAATCCACAAAATATTCAAATTAATTAATCAGATTAATGTGCTAATCTACAAAGGGTGGATTTAATACTAATAAGCTTTCATAAAATTAGAAAAGATGAACGAGAAGTTAATCAAAGTTTATTCAAAAATGATGATGAATCGCAAAAATGTAATCTCGATTTAAAAGTTTCTCTTTCTTTTAAGATCTTAAATTTTTTTCTTTCTTGTGGCATTTCTTTCGCACTCAACCGCGCGATGCTGTCTTTCATCATATATGACGATGGAATCGCTGCAAACGCGATGAGTTATAAAATTTCGAAAAAAATTGCTTCACCAATAACAAAATAACAAAACGAAAAAATGCCATTACGATTTGTATGAGAAGTTTTATTCAAGAAGGAGAAAAAAATGTAAGCTAATAAAGTAATTGCAAGCATTTTATTACACTTGACATTTTATGGCAATCGTTCATCAGGCGATCTTGAAGCTAAGCTCAAACATTCCTTCGTTCGTTCTCAACACGCAGTGAAATTTATGGCACACAGTACGCGGTCACCAACGCTAAAAAGCCAACGAAATGAAATTAATGTGCAGAAATAAAATGGCATATCTCGAGCGTATTCACGTCGAATATTCTTCCCTTTCCCTCCAACTGTCGCACACATACTTTGCACTCTCTCCCGTTGCGTTTTTCGTTCGCATTCTTGCCCTGTTTTCCAATGGATTCAAGAATTAACGACGATTACGCGCAATTGACGGTGAACCGTTATTTCCCACACGGAAAACAATTATACACGGCGAGAGAAAACTAGCGGAAAAAAAGCGCAAATGGAATGAGCCAAACAATACTGGCAAAATCGAAATGGAAATGCACGCAGTAAAGTGCGATATGTTTTGTAATTCTATTGGCTCTGGTCATTCTCGCTCTATGTCCCCTTATTCAGCTGGAGGAATATTTTCACAATAATTATTGCATGGCCAATAACCGTTGGGGCATTCTTTTGAGTGCATTGAATCGTGTTGCGTACCGACTACATCATTTTATTCATTCACTCGGGATTTTTTTTTCTACTTTTTCTTCTGCTTATTCTCTATTTTTCCGTTCCACTTGTCTCAGCTGCCATTCCACTGGCTGGTTATAAAAGCTTGTCATTCGTTTTGAAACTATTTTTCTTAGTGAGTTGACAGGACGCGCGCTTTTACGTAATATACATGTGCTTTGGAGACGCAACACATAATGAAAATAACAAGGCAACGCGAAGGAATGGAAAAGGGCGAAAAAGTAGAGAGAAAAAAACGGAACAGAATGATATGAAGAGAAAAATTCACACAGATGCACACAGTGCACAAAGAATTTAACGTAAAAATAATAACAGTTGTTCAACGGTTCAATTGACTATCAATGAGGAAACTAATTTTCTAGCTCGACGTCGAACTGCTGCTGGTGCTGCTGTTGAATGGCGCGCGAACAATGAACCATTGTGCCAACGAACAAAAGTGAACGAATATCAACTAGACAACACATAGCAGCAGCATGACACTTTTTTTTCTCATGCAACGGTACTCGCCCTTTGTCGCCCCCTCGCGAACAACCGAACTCGTTCACTCACAATTTTCTTCAGTTTTTTTTTCTTTTTGTGTCTCTTTCCATTGAACGTGATACAACTAGCCGGCTAGTGTGAATAGCGAACGATAACGATGACGACTACTTTTGTGTAGTCAATATCAGTTTTTAGCTTTTATTGTTTCTTTTTCTGTCTCTTTTCTATAATCTAATTTATACATTTTTTCTCTCTGTGTCTTCCCCATCCCTCTTCTCTTTCGCTAGTTTTGTTCAGCATCTTGTCGATTTGGTTTCGTTTTTTTTCTTTCGTTTTCTTCTTCTGTTATTGTTCCGATGCATCGAGCTAAAGTTCTCTTCATGTATCATTGCGATCGGTTTCGGAACAAAAGGAGCTGCTGCAAAACATTTGGCTTTTCTCTGTTCACTCGCTTGCTCGCTCGCTGCTTTAACAATAGCAAACATATTACGTATCACTCGGTTATTTTTGCATTTTGACGCATTCGTTGCAATGAATTTAATTTTTATGAGGTTGAAGACCTCCAGCGTAAGCGCTGCACTGCACATAAATTCATGGATTTTACTCGAATGTGTGTGTGTGTGTGTGTGTACGATTCCACATTCCGAGAGCGAATACGTTTTTTTAAGCCAACTCGATTCGATTAGACGATCATCAGCTCTACGCTGACGAAAAAAACCTTTTTCATTTTCTTCGAATTGAAAGGAAAAAATCATTTCGATTTTTTTGTGTCTTGTTTGTTTATAACTTTAAAAATACGATGACCGATCCAAGCGGAATGCTATTGACGAGAATGAGAGAGAGAGAGAGAGAGAGAGGGCGAGCACTATACTTCGCATTTTTCCGGATTAATGCTGCGGAAGTAATTGCATCGAGGATGGAAGCGAAGAGCAAAAAATCCAATTGAATTGGTTGCCGCCATAAAAAATCATGTTATTTAAGCTCTTCCGTTGAATTAAAATGTTAATGCACCGCCATTTCACTTGATATGCTTTCATTGTTTCCTCTTGTGCGAGATTTTTTTTTGTTACTTGATCGAATCGAAAATGCCAAATCGATAACTATGTGTATATCTCTATTCTTGTATGGGGGAAGCTCGGGAAAAAAAATTAAACTTTTAAAAAGTATGATTTCATTATTGTTGCTCCAACATACCGGAGCATTGTCCCGCTTCTAATAATCGCTTTTTATGTGCGATGTATACATAAAATCACATGGAATCCGTTTCCATCGATTCCTTCTTCATACAACGGTGGTTTTTCTGTGCTGTAGCACTCTCGTTGGTGTCATTTCGTTCACAAAAGTATCGGAACGACCAAACGACGAATCAAAAGACATGGCAAAGAATCTGCTGACATTACCGATGAGCACCACCAGCAGTACCAGCAGAAAAAGCAGCAGAGGAATCGTTATGGAATTACAAAAGGTGGCGGCGGGATCATTTCTTATTGGCCTTTTATTTTCCATTTTTTAAGCATTTTCATGTGCACTTTAAACCCATAAAAATTGGTATTCCGTTTCATATCCTTGCGTCTGTCAATATTGCCTTCGGTGTTGTACCGCTCTCGACAATTGTTCACCGAGAGTTAGTAGTGGAAAAATCTTACGCTGCACATTCAAACGCTTTACACACACACAAACTCACTCACATACAATGTGTCCTTTCGATCGAATCAAAACATCACGAAAGTGGCAGAGCGTTAAAGAATGAGTTTATACCCTACATGCCAACTGGATCTGAGAAATGTAAAATAATCATTGCAATGTGATTTTTTTTCTGCTGGTGTTGTTGTCGTCGACGTCTTCTTCGACGGTCGCCAATCCAAGCTAAAGAATAGCTTAACCAGACTCGAATGTCTATAACACCAGCTTTGCGCCACACACAAACTCACACGATGGCAGTTTATCTTTATAAAAATGCGACCGGGCGAAGTGGAGTGAGTGTGGTCGTTTCATTGGTGAGATTTTTGGTTTTGTCTGTGCATTTCCATGAATGCATTTCCTTTCTTTGGTATTTCATTGTGCGCCACAGACACACACGCAGATTCCACACATAAGTCGAATTAAGTGAAAATGAACTGATCAAGAGTCCGAACGAATGGAGCGGGTGCCGGGAACGGGAGTAAGAGATTGAAAATAAAAAGAAGACAGAGCAAAGCAAACGTACAGCTTTTCAAATTACAATTGAAACGTTCAACCGACAAATGCGATTTATCAAGATTCGCAAAATTGTTCACACGAGAAAAATAAATACCATTTTAATTTTGCACGGACCACATCGACAATGTACGACGACGACGACGACGACGATTGTATTTTGCGCCATGTCTGTGGCCCGATTTCATTTCTTCTTCGATTTAGTTTTTCTGTAACAACAACATGACTCGCTCTCATTCGCTTTGTCCGTCTCTCTATTTACACATTGCGTGCGAGAGCGAAAAAGTTTTCATTCTTGTTTGCTTCTCGAGTTTTTGTTTGCTATTGCATGCCATTTCCGCTGGAAGTGTTGTCTATTCGCACCGGGTGGTTGGCAATCGTCGATCCTTTGCCGCTCACTTTATCACGAAATTAGCACATTCAATGGAAAAGAAGGGGAAAAAACCCAGCAACAGCAGCAAATGTAACGGTATATCATTGTCTAGTTAAGACAACAAAAGTTAACAAATTGCGATGGCTTTCCGATTAAAATTTACGATGCTACGTTGTTACCGTTCGTTGTTGACTTTAATCCGCTTGGTTTGCGGTGGTGATGGTGGTGTCAGTGTGTTTTGTAGTAATTACGCCACGCTACAACCGAACGAATGAACGAACGAACATAAATAATTTTTTTTACACACAATCTGATTCAATATTCGATATCAAGCGATCGATTGAATGGCGCTAATGCGACATGTTCCATTCGATTAATATGAATTTACTCGTTCAGCGTATTCAATGGAATTCCGTGTCCTTTCTGTCCTTTTTGTGTTGCTCTTTGTTTTCATTGTATACGAGGATGTAAGTGATCACATTTTATTTCCGAAAATAAAAATGCGATTGATTTTATTTGTGCGCTGTATTTGGCATTGTTACTGTTTTGTTGTGTCGCACGTTTTTATGTTCACATTAAAAATGAAATGATTGGCCGAAAAATGTACGCATAAGTAATTAAAACAAGAGACTATACCGCGCGTCAACGCGATAATGTCGATCTTTTTTCTTGTTTCACAATAGTAATTGTGTACGTAGAAGAAGAGAGATGATATGTGTACTTACCTTATGACATAATTAACGCAAACGACACTCTGTGGCTTCTGTTTATCATAAACGAGCGTTGCTTGAGTGACAACCCAACAGTATCCGCCATTGCGTCCCAAGAACCGATATCGTGATGTTTCCGTTTGACCTTTGTTTATGACTGCATGAGAAAAAGAAACAAACAAGAAAGAGAAAAAAAGAACAATTTTAACCAAATGAATACCATTTCGGAATAATTGGATTTTGTGTGTGTGTTGTGTTCATCATGTTTTTGCTGCCAATAATAAAAATTAATGAAGAAATGGAAGTAAAACGGTGGCCGAAAAATACAGAAAACTTTTCTTTCAACGGAAATGAGGCTAGCAGAAGGGACACACGCATCGGTCCCATTGAGCATTGAATGTTCGAAAAGCTTTTAAGCGTCAACGTAAACGGGCGAAAAATTCGAATGAGAAAGAGGGAGTGAAAAAGAAAAAACATCGAGAAATAGAATCAGAAAACAGGAAAAAAATAAGAGCATGCATTGCGTTGAGTTGACGATCAAGATTGCCAGTGTTTCATAGATCAAATGACTAATTTGCTGATTGTTCAATTTTCATCCACTTTGGCTATCAAATATAAAAGCATTCCGATGTTTTCAGTCAGTCGTTTGCACCGCAGAAGCGACAATTGCAAAACTAGCTGATGACTCAAATTTTTACCCATTTTTCCAAATGACGCGCGCTCTTTTGCTCCTTTTCGCTCTTTCTCTCGCTCTCGCCCTCTACTCGGAGCACCAAATGCATTTCGGTGCGGAACGATTTTATGTGTATTTGTTTTAGTGTTTAGTGCCTTGTGCTCTCTCTTTCTCTCGCTGGTCGTTTCATGAGCATGACAACGGCGACTTTTTCTGCTCGTGGTTTGCTTTTTTCTCGAAATTTCTAAAAAAGTTCATTGCGTTAATATCTCTTATCTTGATAATGCGTTCACTGACATATCAACGCACACACACACACAAACACAAAAATGCAGTTTGGCAATGACGACGACGACGACGAGAAGAAAATACAGTCGAATGCCACATTGAACCGTTTGCAAAGCGGAATAATGCTTCGAAGTGCAATGCACATATTTCTGTAATGTTTGCAATGACGAGAAAATGCAATGACATGATGGAGCAAATGTGGAAGGATAAAAAAATCCGAAAAATCGGAACAAACTCTGTCTCTGACTCGCACACAAAAAATGCCAAATGCAACGAGGACACAAACACGCTCATGCATTTACTAAATGCTTAATTTGATTCGATGCACAAGCATTCTCATTGGCATTTTTTCTTCCTTTCTTCTGCTCTTCCCTTTCGCTTCAAACTGCTCTTCTTTGCGTCATTGTTGCCGTTTTCATACTTTTGCTTCTCGCTCGATCACTCGCTAGCTCGTCGCACTCGTTCGTCATACATTTTTCATGCGCTTTGACTTGCATTCATGTGCAATTGCATGCATTTTGCACCGATAAAGAGTACGTACTCCGAAGTCGGAGACAAGTGCCACAGCGCTGAGCTGGTGCGCGGTGTGGGGCGTGTGTGAAGAGAGGGTGGAAAAAGTTGAAAACTAAGGAATGTATAAATATTTTTATAAGATAAATGAACCGACATCGGGCGAAAATGAAAATGAACTCCAAATTACATGTCATCGCGCGCGCGTTTATCAGACTGCCAAATGCCATCGAATGGTGTACAACGAATCCTCATCCTCTCGATTTCGGTATGTGTGTGTGTGTGTGTGTGTGTGGCTATATTTTTTTTTTCGGATCGAGCCATTGCTCCACTTAACACATGCACATATACTCATCACAATGGTTTTTTTTGTTCCTCGTTCGTTCGGTCGCCCGCCCGCTCTTTCGATTATTTTACATTTGCACAACTGATTCGCTTTTCACACCCCGAGCATTTGCAGAAAAATGGAAAAGTTACGAAAGCGAATAGAAAAAAAGGAGGAGGTTCACACCCAAAACAAATGCAATAATATCATACAAAAATGAACAACAGCAACGATGAACAAAAAAAATATCATCACATTACGAAAAGAAATAACGCAACAAAACTCTTTACCATTTTCATTTTCATTATATATTATAAACATTTTTGCACCACTCAACTTTGTGCGCATCCGCGTACCCGCGCACGCTCACGCACATTGTAGCACTGAAGCATTGACTTTATGCACAACAACAATGGGAATGAGAATTTGTTGGAAATTTTTACGGCAAATGAATGGCAAAAGTGCATGCTGAAGCGAAAAATATCACAAATGTATGCACATTTTCAGAACTACCGACCGTCGTACTTTTTTTTCCTTTCCCGTTTCGCTCGCTCTGTGTACACTCGTACTCGTGTGTATTTTTGTTATGAAATTAAGCATGGGATTGTTCGTTTTTTGCAATTTGTCCACGTTATCTGTCTGTATCGTTTCGGTTTGCATTGAAATTATGACGGTTTATATGCATTTTGTCATTTATTTGCAGTAACGCTTTATTACCCACTGCCAGCACACAGTAAATGATGAACTGAAGCGACTCAAAGTGTGCACAAGCATGAAAAAGTGAGCGGGCGAGTGAGTGAGGAGACGAGCCAAGAAATCATTTCAGCTTTTTCACTTCGGGATATTTTTCCAAATCTATATTTTGTTTGACAACGTATGTGGGTGTGTGTGTGCGTGCGACTGAGTTGCACGTTAGTGCTAAAGGTATTTTAATTTAATGCATTTTATTTTACGCTTCTATGCTCATTCATACTTGTGAGTGTATATTTGTGTTCCGTTCGTCAGAGAGCTTGCCATTGGAATGTGTACACTGATTTCCCAAACATTTTTTTGTTGTTGCCATTTTCCTTTCGGTCGGTCTTTTTCCTTCGTCGGTTAAATGTCGATCTAGAGAGCAGTGAAGTCAGTGACTGAAGGGAAACATTGTATTTTTATATCAAAACACAACACATTTATATGCTGAAAACAATTTCCCACAATTGAATTGATAAAACATTTAGATTTCATTTGTTTTTCCTTCGTTTTTCGCTCTGCAAATTCTCTTCCATTTCTCGCCGGCGATGCGAGATTTGAAAAAGCTCGTTCGGTTATTCGGAGCACAAAATTCATTCTTGTATTTGGTTGTGCAACGAGAAACAACATAAAATTGTTGTGCTGATGTGTTTCGTTATGGGGAAGCATGTAACCGACAGGAAGATATGAGTAATGAAAGATATGGAAAATATTGCCAATTCAATTTGATGTGTTTGTACTTTCGTTCCGTACGCAGAGATACATAACAACATACACAGCGAATACAATGCTGAAGGCTTTGCTTTCATTCTTTCTGTACTTCTTTGAATAAATGATATGAAATATCCTTGGTTGGCAGTTTTTTTTTCTTCCTCTCTCGACATCGCCATCGCTGTCGTCGTCGTCGTCTTGTTATTTTGTAATGCTTATTCATGTATCAGGCAATATCTTGGCCAATGCACTATTCGCTATTTCGTTTGTTCACTGTTTACATTTGCGTCGTCGGTTCGGTGTGCAAGAGAGATAGATGGAGAGGGGAAGGGAGGGGAGAGAAATCGCATTCAGTCTTGCATGTTTTCAGTTCATAACATGAAACAAATGATAATATTTGGAATTGGAATAATATTTAGTTTTTGATGAAGCTCGAAATTAAATAATGACCCCGCCGACAGCGAATAGCGAGCATAGCACGCGTACTATATCCAGAAAACAAGGCAAATCGTTAAGATTGAAATCACAAACGGAAAAAGAATGGGATAACAACTGGAATAATCGACGTGCATTTTGTTTTCATTTACTGTTCAGCAAATATGCGAGTGCGTTCTCTCTCTCTCTCTCTCTCTCTTTCTCCACAAGTTTGCCATACCGAAGAGCAAAGGGAATAGCGGCGAGAAAGAGAGAGAGAGAGCCGCCGGTTAACGGCGGAATAGAGGTACTCAAAATTCATTGAATTCGATGAATCTCAATTATTCATTTGAATTCAAGTCATAAATTTGCTCTTCCGATCGAGAGAATGCCAACCATTAACAAAACCTGACAGGTGCCTGCTTCATCCATTCGCAAAAATTACATGCATTTTTTTCCTCATCTGTCTCTCTCTCTCTCTCTTCCCCGGTGTGTCTGTATGTGTGTGTTCGCCGCACGGGAAAATTTATTTGGCTATAAAACATGGAAGCACATTAGAAAGCATTCCGGGTGCAAAAAACCGATTAAATGTTTGCCGGTTCTTTTTTTTCGGGTCGGAAACCTGAAACAATTTCAATTCACTTGACCATAAAAACCAAACTAATTCTAAATCAAATAGCACGAAGTGAGCTTCAATGACGAGCACACAAATCCGCCACCAAACACCAGCTTCATTCAAAACACACACGATGTCGACATTGGGCAAAAGCCACAAAATCAGTGGTCTTCACAGCACCATTCTGTTTACTTTTGAAAGACACACAGACTCTCGCATGACGAGCGCACAAAGTGTCCATTGCTCAGCATACAAATTTCAGCATTTGGATTTGTAGCAGTAACGAAGACGGAAAACACACAGTGCGAGTGCATATCGCACGAAATATTAGAATTTTGAAGTATAAATAGCAAAATTTATGAGCACACAGTGTTTGCAGCAGCAACGAAGCGACAAATGTGTTACATGCCACGGCAATATGGTGAAATGATGTTGCTCTTTGAATGTCAATGGAGGATGTTTGCGCTCGTTTCCTTGCACAAGAAGGTGAAATACTTTTGGTCTTTCACTCTTTCTCGCTCTCAGTGAATGCGCACAGATTTGCCAATGCATTTTTGTGAGTTACTTGAACCGGATCGCATCATTTTGCCAATCGTTTCCATTTTCAATCCTTTTTGCAACTTTCGAAACATTTTGCCATTTCTTTTGTCATCGTCGTTGTCATCATTGTTGTTGCTTTTTCCACCACTCTGCCACACAGTGATTTAATTCTTATTTTTCTTTATGTTGGAATGTCGTAATAATTTTTACTGCACACTGATGCTGGGGATGTGCGAAAGATAACTTTTCAATGAACTTTTCATAGTCGTGAGCGAACGAGCGAGCGAGTGTCAGTGCAATGTTATTGCGATTTCTTCAGTGAAGCAAACAAAAAAACAACAACCAGAT